GTGGGAGAACTTGCACAATTGGTGGCTGACTAAATACTTTTTTGCCCCACTGTATGTAGTACCTATTGGCAATTGCTTAAACCAAAAGTATTTTTCTGGGATGGTTTCCTACTAATTATGCCATAAATATAAATGAGAATTATTTTTGCTATGTAGAGAAGTAGGTACAGTTGATTATAGTATGGTTTGAAATATATCCTTGGATTTTGCAAGCAACTTTCAAAATTGCAGTCATAAATGTAAAGAGCTAGCCTTCAGTATACAAGGTCTGGGTTTTATTTTGTTTTTCATGAACTGTATGTGCATTTCTATAAAAATGAAAGAATAGTTGGGATATTTTGAAACAATCAGTCTGCTTTTTTTAGCTTTCTATTGTCTATTTGTATTTTGCTGTCCAACTTGGGCATAGCTACATATTATAGAGGGCAGACTCATATTCACATATCGTACATGTAGGAAGTCAAGGTATACATTAAAAAAATAAATACTAAAGGATTGCTCAGGATGCCAAAGCTGATGCAAAGATATTTGTTACTTAATGAAGATCTCTAAAGTCTTCTATAGTAACATTTCTACTTAAATGCTTTCAAAGTTGAGTAATAAAGTTGCATTTCAAAAAATTGCACCATTTCCTGAGATTGTAGTACTCATACATATTCATTAACATATTTAGCAACTTCAGGAAGTCTCTAAACATCTGGTGTTCAGCATAAGTGGAGAATGCAGTACTCCTTAATTGTTGATTCACCAATCATTAAAAAATAAAACATTTTCATTATTTTCTTTCACTCCCTTCTTCAGATGTCTCCACAGCCATTGACTGTTTAAAATAATTGTAGACTGTTATCCAAAATCCTTTCCATTGGAAGGACCAAACCTACAGTGTGATACTGGGCATTTGCATTTGCTGCTTGGAATCATTGGACAGTTGTGTATTAGGAACTGCTTTATTGATCAGTCAACTGGATGATCAAGCCAATTTTTTTTTTTTAAATGAGGGGCAGCAACTATCTAAGATTTTTAGGTTAGGAATTTTTCAGTCCTGCTAGGGAGATACCAAGGATTGAGTCTGGGATCTTCTACATGCAAAACATATTTTCTCTACTGAGATATGATCCCTCTCAGTGTATGTTCCTTTGTGTATTATGATTTTGGCCATCAACTGAGTAAGAGAGTAATGCATAATCAAATAGTAGTGGTTCCTTAATTTTTTGCCTGCCAAAAAGATTTCACCCACCAGTGAATTTCACACACCAATCAGTTATGTCTACATATTTCAGCTGTCCTGCACCTTTTTCATGTGAAATGGTTTAAGGTTGGGGTTATCAATTGGTGACCTTTGTAAATTTATGTACCCACACTGTAATCACAAGGGTATTACATCAATCAATTGCATTCTCAGTGGGCAAAAATTTTAAGGACATGAGATTTTAACACTAGTGACAGGCAAAAAAAGAACAAGAGCAAATTATGATTTATTTTTATACTGCTTTAAATAAACTAAGCACTTTTCAAAAAATTGAGAGTCTGTTTCCAAAGGTTTATAATTAAGGATCAGCAGAAGGCAATAAAACTATGCAGAGATTTGTTATGTTCAGTGCCATATTTAAAAAGTAAGCCAGAAACAGATAACAAGCAAGATAGCTCAAAAATGTTGTTTCATTTTTTTGCTTTTTAAATCTTGCTTTATATTTGTTTGATGTGTTTCTGCAGGTTAGAAGTTTGGTTTGTACTTGCACTTGTCTTGCTGTTTAATTTGGAAATATTTTTCCAGATAAATGACATATGAAGAGTGCTGTAGCACAGAAGAAAAACATGGTTGTAAAACAAAATATTAAATGTTACTACAAACATATTTTTAAAAGATCAGTTATACAATAGCAAACAGATTCCAAGATATAAAAATAATTGATCACACTATTGAAATAACCTGTCTAACTATTGTGTAATTTTGTCAAGAGAGAATTATATCAAGTTTGTAATTCCTCTAACAACTATGCCTCAGTAATCCTAAGTTTCTACCTCCTTTATCATTAATTGCCGCTTCAGTGTAAAAAATATGGAAGGTTATCAAGAAATGTATGTAGTGTTGATATTTGCCTTTCTTCTGTGCAGGGTAACTTAGAAGAGGAAGAATCTGTTAAAGAAGCTGCTTCTCAAGTGCAAGAAACATTTCAAGCCAGTATTTCAGTGGCATCCAACATCCTTGGTAATAAAATGTTACTATAGATTGCTTACCCACAGATACTTGGACATGTTTATAGCAGCCTTCCCCAATCTAGTGCTCTTCAGATAGTACTGGGAGTAGAGTAGATTTTTCATCTGGCCAGTGGTTTGAAAGAAAGGTTTACAGTATTATATGGCCTGTACTCACACCAATTTTGAGTTCTCGTAAAAACAGAAACAATGGTAAATTGGTAACTCTGATGGTACAGGAGACCCTTGTGGTGACAGAGAACATTGCCCCAGAGATGACTGGATGAGTGTTCCTATGTGGAATTGAGCCTTAGGGATAGGCTAGGGCTATTGTTAGTGAGCTGCCCAGTTGCGGCCCTCCACAAGTTCCTGGGTGTCATCTTGAGGCTGCTATCAGAGGTGCCAAGATTAAAACTTTTGGGGGATTTCAGTCTACCTGTTCCAGGAGAGGGGTCTAATGTAGCTTGTGGCTTCATGGTAATCATGGGTACGTCCCAAATAATATTGGCTCCAACACAGACGAGGTCACATTGTTGAAACTATGGTTAAATCTGTCCATGTGTTGTAAGATTAAGGAGTTTTCATCATGTCTTCTGACTGCTACCTGGTGTTCATGGATGCACTCTGCTAGCCTTCTACCTGTCTGTCCTACATTCTAGCACTGAAGATGTTACCTAGCCGGGTAATGAAACGTTTGCAAGAAAACAACCAAGCTCAGAGA